GCAAAAAGTTTCAAAAATTTCAAAGTTTCAAAAATTCAAAGATTCTGTACCTTTTCATGGAATCACGGCAGCCATTAACATTTAAAGTAATTCCTGAAATGGAAACTGCCATGACAATGAGAAGAAAGAAAATATATATCGAAGTAATGGACATAAAAGTTATACAAATTCTACAAATTCTCCCGTTGTTAAAATATACTTTTTTATTTTGTTGATCAGTTTAGCGGGACGGATTTTTTGTGATGAGTTCAGTCTCTGGGAATAACGATAATTCGTAAATCAAAGCACATTTCAATGAATTTTCTGGAATGTAGTGTAGCTGCCAGAAATTGTCTAATTGCCTCATTTGATATCTGAGACTCGTTATCCCCGAGACCAGAAACAACTGGCCCCTCATCTTCACCGTTGTCGTCGTCTTCTATGTCTCCGGTTTTGTTTTCCGAGTCACTGGGAGTGATGTAAATATCTCCTGTAACAACTGATGACTCTGATGAGTTTGAAAATGAGTCCAGTGGTGAAAAACTGGGTGATTCATCTATGCAAGCTGGCGGGGAAGTAGACAAAGGCGTATCGTTCGCTGTAACAATAGAAGGTGCAGGTGGCCAGAGGCGGGGATGGGGGTGGCGTTTGCGGCTTGATAGCTGCAACTTCAGCAAAGGTAGGTTGGCTGGAAATGGTCACCCATGCGTACACGCGACTCTCAATGGGAGGTTTCAATGATGTAGATGGGGTTGGGAGAGGGGCGGAGGGAGTGGTTTGTACCCTCTCTTCAACTGATGCAATCACATTTTCATTATTAGTATTATATCGATTTTCACTCAATTTTTTCACCACTAACGGATGACCGCGCGCGTTTCTTACACCTGTTCAACTGTGTATTATCATCGTCCATTTTACTGAGAACGTTATCATCGTTTGATTCTGTGGTGATTAACACATTATGCCTGACCGGTCATCTATAACAAAGGGTTAGCAGTCACTATTGTTGATAGTCATTATTATTTGCTGTGTTTGTTTCAGTTACACCTGTCTCAGTTTGCATTTTGTTGTCATTGTGTTCTTTTTCTTTGTTTTGCATATCAATAGTCTCTTTATTTGAACAGTTTAGATATTATACGTTTGTATATCATATACGATTGGCAATAGACCGTTAATGTTAGTATCTTTAAGGTGTACATAAACCTGCCTGAGAAATGATTGCACATGTTTTAGAGTAGGTCGTTTGCAACCAAACGAGATAATACTGATGCCGCTCATAACTCGTCCATATGGAGCAAGGGCCCGACGTATAAATATATTTGGTAGGAATGGCGGAACATTTGATAAAACCATTTTGGTGGATGGACGCACAAGTGGTTCAACCGAGATAGAAAAATCCCAAATAACCATCGCATAAGCACAGACCATGTCAACACATGACACTGACGACATGAAATTCCGTCAACAATTTCGCAACGAACCTTAGATTCATTGCAGGTGTGGTCGAAGCCTTTGTTTGAGCGGCCGCCATCTTGGCCGGCCTTAGCTCCGACTCACAACCAAACAAAAAACCACACCAAAAACGATAAAATGACCAACAAAATTAAAAAATTAAATACACACAGACAACCAGTAACACTATATACAACAATTAGAAACGTTAAAAAAGAAGCACTGTGCTTGCAAAGATAGGAAAAGACTCTCCAGTTGGCCGAGAGCAGGAGCGTTCAAAAAACACGTCCTCTACCAACCATTTAAAGTAGAATGGTATGCATATATTGTAGTAGTATGGGAGTGGTCTGGTTCACATATATAAATAGAATGGTATGCATA